TGTATGGCTTCTTCCGTGACACACATGCTTCATTCTGCATCATCTGATCCAAGCAAACATCTAAAACAGTTGTGAATCATAGTCACAACATCTTGAAATAGCCATTTGGGACACCATGACTCAGTATTTGGGTGCAAATTTGTAACACCATTTAAAATCATCGGACAATTTTAGATTGGGGGAAAAAAACAAGAAATGAAAATGATCAGCTGAAGGCCTGACCATCTGTGCAGAAATGATAAAAACAAAACCTAGAGATGCAAAACCCCTTCAGAACAGAAGTAGATCCTATTTTAATATATTTGACAGCATCATCAGTATGACCATCACCACAGTGCCATATAACAAGGTGGTTGGTAACTGGCAGAGAGCCAAAATGAAACAAATATTTAGTCAATTTCAGAAATTTCAATATATACAAATGCGCTGTAGTTCATACCTGTTCAGGTGTTTGCAGTAGATTATCCCCTGTGCTGGTGGGTTCACTTTGACTCGACATAATGATGCTAATATTTGACACACAGACAGGAGTCTGTGTAAGCTGCTGTGCTTGTGTGTGAGATAAGGAAGCTGTGTGAGAAAGATGTAGTTCGATGAACTATCACACAGCAGCCGGAAGTCATCACTTCCTGTAGAAGGTGGTAACGTCAAGAACTGTGACTTATGCCTTTTTCCTCATGTGGTGCCCTCCATTTTGTCTGAATGCAAAATAACAGATCTCTCTCTCTCTCCAGTGTTTTTTAGAAAACACAAAGCTGAACACACACGGGAACTACTAGCCAAAGCACAAACCCAAACTTACACAAATTCCTTGTTTACTCCTTGTTTGTAATCATAGTTAGGGTTTTGCATGTGACGTTGCTGCCCAGGCCTACTGTTATTATTTAACTGTTAGCATCATGACCATGGACGCCATGATAAATCTAATCTCTTGTTTTTATTTTGTATTTGACACTTTTTTTTAAATGTCTTATTATGTTGACCTTATGTTTTATTTAAAGAACTTTGAATTACCTTGTTGTTGAAATGTGCTATAAAAATAAACTTGCCTCACCTTAAACTAGATTACCACTCAACATAATGGACTACACAACTCAAAGAAGTTTTAAGAGTCTGTTAACTGATATTTTAGCCACGCCGGCAGCATGCCTCTAGGGATGGCACTGTCTGTCTGTCAGTCTGTTGGTTGGTCGTTTCACCACTGTGATTCACATTAAAATATCTCAAAACTTTGTACAGACATCCATGGTCAGGATGAATCCTTTATGCAGTAAAATTAAGTAGTAAAAAACAAGGAGCTAAAACTTGAATAAAAAAGAGTGGTTTGGTCCATTAAGACAAATCTTCTATAAGAAATAAATGCTTAGCTGAATGGAGCAGGAAAATAAATTAAAAATCTTTATGGAAAAGTGAAAAGAAGACATTTTAATCAGTGTATTTAGAGCAGGGCTGCAACTACTACAAGTTATCTGTTAATCTGTTGATTATTTTCTAGATTAATTGTTTGGTCTATAAAATGTTCTAATCTAATAAAGATCACTAGGATCTAGAAACCCTCATGTTTTTGATTGCTGATAAGGTAAATCTAATCTCACATGACGAATGATTAACTGCAGAAGAATGAGGTAATGAGGCGCCATGTAACATGAGAGCAGTCACTCTGTGGTTTGGGTTGGTTTGCCCCAGTTTCTATATCTATTTCTGTATCTGTATATCTGTTTCTACACACCTTTCTACAGTTTTACTGACCATTGCGCTTGTAAAATGGGGGTACATTTTGTCACCATCTGGATTAGCTGTTGAAATCTAAAATTACAAAACTTATTAAACTAACCACAAAGAGAAATATGTAACAACTTGTACGATAATTAAATATTTCCACACCTCATTACAATTTGTTTGTACATGAAGGTGATTTTTCCTTAAATGTGAAAAATGATTTAAACTCAACTGCTTGTATATATTCTATTACATGTTTTGTTTACTGTAATTATAATACTGCAATACTTTTGTGCTAAGTAGTTGACTCTGTTTAGCTATTTCAGCAAGCTAGTTAGGTAGCTAGTTAAGCTTGCTCTTATACTTATCTTACACCATTGTAAAAAAACAAAAACAAAATGGTATAGTGTTAGTGTAGTATTAATGTAAAATAACTTAAACAGTAGATTTACTTTGTACATGTAAAATCAAAATTCTTAGATATATAGCGAAAAATATGGGACAATATAAAAAATATTTTATGTAGGGCTGCAACTAACGATTGTTTTCATTAGCCTATCCATTAATATTTTTATCTGATTATTTAGTAGATTAAAGAATGCCTGTCAAAATTTTGCCCAATTGACATATTCAAATTGCTTGTTTTGTCTGACCAATGTACATAATCTCCTGTGGAACCAGGTTCCAGTTTGGGTTCAGGAGGCAGACACCATCTCCACATTTAAGAGTAGGCTTAAGACTTTCCTCTTTGATAAAGCTTATAGTTAGGGCTGGCTCAGGTGAGTCCTGAACCATCCCTTAGTTATGCTGCTATAGGCCTAGACTGCCGCAGCACTTCCCATGATGCACTGAGCTCCTCTCTCCTCTACTTTCTCTCCCTCTGTATGCAACCTCATCCCATTATTGCATGTTACTAACACAACTTCTCCCCTTTCCGGTAGTCTTGTGCTTTCTCGTCCCTCTCCTCTCTCCTCCTATCACTTCCTGCAGGTGTTTCTGGCTCTGGAGCTGTGGAGTCTGGATCTGTGGTTGCGAGTCACCTGCTGCCCCTGTGTTCCTGCTCGACACCCTCTGCTACAACAACTATTGTTACTAGTCCTATTGTGATTATTACTGTTGTTATTATCATTACCATTACTATAAATATCTGTACTATGATTCAGTCAGTCTGTAGCAACATCACCTTTACTGTCTGTACTTCTGTGTGTATATTGTGTAGGCTGCTACTCCCTACCCCCCATTCCTCACTCCCTCTGATAAGGAGGAGATATGGCTATTTCCCTCCCTCTCTCTCTCCCTCACCCCCAACCGGCCAAAGCAGATGGTTTCTGCCTCTTAAAAGGAAGTTTTTCCTTGCCTCTGTCACCTAGTGCTTGCTCTTGGTGGGAACTGTTGGATTTCTGTAAATAACGTCACAGAGTACGGTCTAGACCTGCTCTTTTATGAAAAGCGTTCAGAGATAACTGTAGTTGTGATTTGGCGTTATATAAATAAAACTGAATTGAATCGAACCCAAAGAAACTCAAATTCCACCGCCATAAAAGACAAACCAGCAAATATGTTCTTTCCAGAGGCAACAACAAGTGAATTTGTTGCATTTTTACTTGAAATGATAACTTTATTAAAGTAGTTTAGACTCTGTGTGTGTGTGTGTGTGTGTGTAGTCAGAGAAAGACAAGGGCCAGACAGACAAAGACCTCCACTGTTGTTTGTCAATCCACATCATGAATGTGTGTCTTGTTGCGTCTTTCACAAGTATGTGGGTACTTTTGCAACCTGACCGCTCTCCCTTCCTTGACTCATTCTGAGAAGCCCTGCTCCTTACCGTAAGAGGCACAGGCCTTATACTGGGCATGCACAAGAAATCATACAGTAAATGTTATGGCACTGTCCTATTCCTACAACTAAGCATTTAAAGTGTTTGTGTGTCCCTCTGTTTGACATAATATTGTCATATTGGCCTGTAACTTATCTGGAACAGATTATCTGCCTCTTGAGTGGGTGGGAATCGCTCTGTCACCATGAAATAAGAATTCACTCTTTTAACAGATGTAAATCTAACTTTTTCAAAAAACTTAACCAACTGTTGTGCCAAAGCCAATCTATTCTTGGCAAAAACATTTCAGAAAAAAAACACTGGAGATGTACCATCTAGTTTTCAAGGGGGTCCTGACCAAAGACATACAACAACAGAAGACAAAACAATATGCAGCAAACAACAGACATAGTTACAGTTACAATGTGACTCATTAAAAAAATGCAAAAACAAAACACACTCACTCAGGCACCATGCCCACGGCACAGAATTTAGACACCCACACTAGTGTTAAAACAGTACAGTATGACAGTAAGTAAAATGAAATTTAACAGGAGCATTCTGTTGTGAGGTGAGCGGTAAGAGCATTTTGAGCATTTTTTAATTAACCTAGATAACACAGAGATTGGTTCCAGTTCCAGTCTCTAGGAATCTTAAAGTTGAATTCTTTTTGTCCTTTTTCAAGTGAAGTTTTTGGAACATGAAAGAGGAGATGGTTACTGAAGAGAAAAAATAGGATTAGAATTATGAATAGCTGTTGTACGTAAACAGGATATTTGAAATGAACACATTTGAAAAGAAACTGGTACCAGCTGTCGTCTAATATATTTTAGAGAGAAAGCTGTACATTGTACATTACGCAGTGGTGAGCCTGAAAGTGACAACTGACGGTAAATCTGCATAAACTGTTAAATATGACATCAACTTTTGCCAGCTCAGTTTTTTGAAGCATTTTGATACACAATGTCTCCATAGACAAGGACGGGCAATAACAACTGTGATAGCAGCCTCTTTTTTAGATGCATGGTGAAACAGTTCTTTGATCTGTGCAAAACATCAATAGAACAGCAATTCTTTAGTAGTAGTAGTAGTAATAACAACTCTGCTTAATTGGCCATATCTGTGTCTGTAAAATGTTAGCATCTGTCCAAAAAATGTGTGCATATTTTAGGAAAGATGGCAAAATAGTTTCCTTTTTCTGATCCACAAAAAAAAACGACTTAACTATTCAGTGTCCTACCAAACTTTTCCAGGTAGGCTATATGGATAATAACTTTTGATGCAGTCTATGAATAATACCCGTATATTCGGAATAGAACCTTCGGGAAACTTCTCTTACTTTATTGTTTACCTTGTCCCCATTCAATCATATCCAAGTGTGACCCTTTAATATTTCTAACACACAAATCTCCTTATTTCAATACACACGTCCTAAGGTTGCGTGACGTCACGTTGTGGGCGTGTCACGCGTACGGCGGAAGAGCAGGTGCAACACAAACCACCAAACCCACCAGCGGCATCATCATCATCACAACAACCGTTGCGGACAGGCCTGCAGATCCTTTTTCTGCCAGAGGAACACAACCTTGTACCTTTTTTTAGCTGTCGAGAGTCTGTAGGCACGTCGACATGACTCTGAACCAGAACCACTCTGAGTCCGGCGGAGTCATCGTCAACAACAGTGAGAGGTAACAGTACAGAGTGCAACGGGCTAGCTAGCAGGCGGACAAGTTTTTAGGCTCTCTCTGGGGAGGACGTCACACCAAACTCACTGAAAAAGGAAGACAGAAAATGTGCCTCTGCTAACTGGTGATTTACTTTATTACCAGGAGCACTGGCAACATTTCTGACTGGTAACGTTACACGGAGCTAACTAACGCTAACTTAATGACAAAACATATTGCGAGCACCGTGAAGCAGTCATATTATACTCGTCATTTTATTTGAACAAATAAGCCAAATTGTAAAGTGGCTCATAATCATTGCAAAACGACACTAAATGTATACATAAATGCTAGTAGGCAAACAAGGCTACATTAGTTATAACGCCATGTTTCTGAATGGAATAGTCGCGTTGCAGTTTACGGAACCGGGTCCCGGACTCGCAGCCCAAACATGGCCTTCAACCTGTTATATCACCACTGCAGTCAACCGTAGCGGGCTTCACATGTGGTTACATAAATGTTTACAAATGTGATATTCAAACAGATGTATCGAGGTTAAAACTGTATTTAATCACATTGCAAGAGTAACTTAGCATTGCAAGAGTAACTTAGCATTCATTGCAATGCCGTGCTGCTACATTGCTTACTGTCCGCACCATCTGCTCTCTGGCCTGCTCTGTAATGAAAGGTTTGTTTTGTTTAGTCACATCCAGACCAAGTCACCACAGTTTCATGAATTAACATGAGTGGCAGCTTCTTCTAGAACACACTGGAGTGTAACGATAAACAACAACCCATTACAGCTCACCAGAACCACTAGTAAGCTCTGACATGTATAAGCCTAATCCTTTTATCATAGTACTATTTACTGAAAGCAAGGGATGGGCCATTTTTAGTAACTGGACAGTTGCACAATAACCCAGTGATCTCATTTCAAGCTGTCAGGTCATATATTATGAAAGTGGGGTTTGAATCAAACAAAACGCTGTTGATATTTAGTTTTACACAATATGTCATAAAATTATTGTTTCATCATCAAATTGTGATTTCCACTGATCAGCAGTTACTTTGCTTAACCAGTGGTTGTTTCTTGTGTCTATTTCTGTCACCAGTCTGTTGATGAACTATGATAACGTGGAGCTGGTTTTCTGTGATGCGGACAGTCTCCCTGAAGCCTTCAGAAAGAGCAAAAAGGGCAGCATCTACCTAACTCCATACAGGGTGAGAGACAAGACCCACATATTGTCATTTACCCACAGCCTCATGTTACTGAATGCATACTGCACAACCTGCAGACCTCTGATTCCTCTAAGTAGTATTAGGTATTACACGGTAGTAGGGAAACATGGACACAGCGTTCCGACGTCATGTGAGTGATGCGATGATGTTAATTGCTGCTGTGTTCTCCCAGGTGATCTTTCTGACTAAAGGCCGGGATGCACTGCAGTCCTTCATGATGCCCTTCTACCTGATGAAGAGCTGCGAGGTCAAACAACCTGTATTGGGAGCCAATTACATCAAGGGCACTGTCAACGCGGAGCCTGGAGGTAGGTAGATATGTGTGTGAGGTGCATACAGTATGTGTCTGTCAGTTTGTTCAGCACACAGTAACTGCATGGATTCCTCTTTGTGTTGTCTCTCTTCCAGGTGGCTGGGAGGGCAGTGCTACGTTCAAGCTCATCTTTGCTGCTGGAGGAGCTATAGAGTTTGGCCAGTACATGCTGCAGGTTGCAGCTCAGGGTGCGGTTAAAAAGCAACACTCACAGTATTATGAAATTCTTGCTACAGGACAGACTACTGTTTGGCTGATTGCCCTCTATAGTTTCTTTATATTTTGGCATGTCCCCTTGCTTTTCATCTTGCAGCGTCAAGAGGTCAGCCAGTGACTTCTGGGTTTGGTGGATGCCCCTATATGGCCAACGGCGCCTACTCTTACCCCCCTCCCCCTGCTAACGGGATGTACCCTGCTGGTCCTCCGCCCGGCTACTCTTTCACCAACCCTCCTCCACCAGGTAATAATTGCCACCGTTGTCATTATCACCTTGATTTCTTGCTACAAATCCCCTTTAGGTCTTGAAGTAATCTTCTGGAGTAATTGTCAACTCTGTGCTCCTGCTGTCCAGATGGATTCTACCCCAGCCCTCCAGCGTTTGATGCCTCTGCCGCCTACATACCTCCGCCTCCTTATTCTGCTCCTCTGGGCCAGCAGCCCCCACATGACCCAGACCTCCCCTCCTCAGCAGCAGGTGAGTCTGGCAAAGAGGCTCTGACTGATTTGAAACTGGGTGGTTGTATCTCAGGTTCACTCCAGGTGTAAATAAAAATGAAAAAGTAAAGACAGTGATGGCTCAGAGTTTCGTTAGGAAGCTCACCTTAGCGACAGATTTGCCTTTAGCAATTAGAATCACTAGTATTTTTTGGTATATAATAAAAAAATAAATTAAATTATAATAAAAATTTAACTTGTTCTATAAAATAGTGACAATCGCATCACAACACATAAAACCAACACGATGTCTTCAGATTCTTTGTATATTAAGTTTGTTATTGTACAAGGCAAGCAGTTTAGAAGCTGGGTCTATAGACTTAAACAATTAATTGGTTACCAAAATAGTGGCCGGCGTCCTTCGGGTTGTCCGTCCCATTCGTGTGAATGTGATATCTCAGGAACTTTAAATGCAAATCCACATGGACTCAAGGATGAACTGATTTAGAATGTAGTTGTCAATGGACACTGTGACCTCACAAAAGACATTTTTTGCCATAAGTCAATAATTGAACCGAAATTTAACAGTTGGTCGGTCATTGAATAGGTGACGCAATGTGACTTCGAAATAGGTCTTTAGCCATAACTTAGGAATGAAATGGGGCAATTCACACACATGCTGACTGTGTCAACGCAATGAGTAAACAATAATTAGCACAGTACGGGCTTTCCTTCCATCTCGGCCATGCTGCCTTTCACTTCCTGAATTTCGAGCGTCATCAAAATCACACGGCCGGACCTAGCTAATCGTGATCCTGTGAGTGACTTTTACCTACAGCTCATAAGAGAGGCTTCGCTAATAAAAAGGGCGGGAGGGAAAAAAAGCACCACATTTTGTGCAGCTCTACTCTGTAAGAATATAGAGCAAGAGTATGTTCACTGGAATCATACATTCATTATGTTCATATTATATACACTTTACACCTTATTATGCAATTAATTCCAAGTATTCACTACATATATTCCAGACAGACATGGATGTAAACTACAACCTGAGGCATAGAACCGCGGGGTGGTAATTCTAGTTGTGTAATGTTACCAGTGGAACACCGTTAGTTGCATTGAGTATAAGAAATAATTTACTCCATCCCCTGAGGAAGATGAAGATGTGGTTGAAAACAGAAAAGGGTAGTACAGTAAGTGGACCTTTTTTAAGGTATGTCTTTTTTTGTCAAATTCTCATTAATATCTTAGCATTGATTTAACCATATCACCTCGACCTACTAACAAATCCTTAGTATTAGCTGGTTAACAACATTTCACTCCACATTGTCTGTCATCAATTTTATTAATTCAAGCCGCAGCGTAATGCCTCCCTAATTTTTCCTACATTCCCTTTTCCCCTCCTTATTACAGCACATTTTGTAACTCAGGCTTGATAAGCCTCAGTCATCTCACATATCCAAGGGATTAAGTGTAAGACCATGTTTAATTAATGTCCCCCTCCCTCTCTCACTCCCCGTGTCGTTCCCAGCGGAGGCCAAAGCAGCCGAGGCAGCAGCGAGCGCCAGCTGTGCCACACTGCCTCCTACACATGTGTACCTGCCACAGGTGAGCTGCCCTCCATCACTCACATCTGATGTTGAACTTATTGATCCACTAGGTTGTGCCAGTGTGAGCAGACTGTGGGTGTCACCCGACTTTTGTGCAGTAGCTGTTGAATTGCCACTTGTGCCCTTATGGAAACATCTGCATTTGTTTGTTTGATGTTTTTCTCCGCTCACTTATTTAGGGTTTCCTTGAATTTGTCACCCGACTATATGTAGCTAGTATCAATATTGCTTCTAGTGCTTTTGTCAATTTAAAAGGCACCAAAGAGAAGCAGGCTTCACTTCTTTCCAAATATTTTACATCAAGCTCTTTAGGAGTTCTTTCTTTAAGAGCACAGTTTTTTAGGGGGATTAATTTGCACCTAATTGAAGTTATATTTCAAGCAAAAATGCCAAACATTCGCAGGTTCAAGCTCAAATATGAGAATATATAATAGTATATACTTAATACTGTTTGGTAGGCCTGTCACAATAATTACATTATCGAAGTATCATACAATATATGAAAACTGCTCTCCACAGCCCCAGTGTGGGAACATTTTGGGTTTAAGCTGAATGAGAGAGGAGAACCCGTTAATGTAAACGAGCTGGTATGTTGACTTTGTTTAAAAACAGTGGCAACTAAAAGCAGCAATACAACTAAATGTGCCAAAATTTTAAGCATATTTAATGCAGTTGTTAAGAGCCCATTGTCCCATTTTATTTTTTGTTCTTGTTCATGTGGTTTATTATTATTTATTTATTTGATTTGATTTGTTATTTAGATATTTTAATATTATTTTCAAATCTGAATATTCTCATGAATAAAAAGTTACCTGCATTTTCATTTGCATTAAATGATCTTAAAATGACTATCATTTATCGCAATTATTTCTGGCATAATAATGATAATATATTGTGACAGGCATACCGTGGGATATTTGTTGGATAACAGTAGAAAACGGGGAGAGAGATAGGCGGCGCATGCAGCAAAGGGACGCATGCAGGACTTGAACCCTGGTCGCAGCACTAAGGACTCATGAAGCAAGCCTTGTACACGGGTGGTTGCTCAACCAAGTGAGCTAACCACACTCTGGGATTTGTACTTTTCCTCAGATAAAACAAGCAGTTTGAAGACATCTCTTACTCAATCAAGAAAATTGATTGCTGGACAATAAATGATCTTTGACACAGTCCATAGAAACAGCAGAGTACAGAGCCCTCCCTACCTACTGACACGTTAGCTTGGCAGAACAAGCATGGCTGATATTTCTGTAGTCTTGTCCTTTGTCATGGTGCAAAAATGTGTTGAACTAATGCGGGAGAACTGTCTTTAAATTTGTGTCGCAGTAGATGTGAAGGCCTTTTGATGAAGCAGTAGGTTTTCATAGCGTCTGTGACACGCTCTGTGTAAAAAGGGCCTTGCACATGCTCAGAATGGATCGCTGTACAGTCCTGACGTCTCAAACACCTCTCTCTCCACTCTCCATAGGACAAGCCTCCTCCCTACTCCCCTCCAGAAGACAAGAAGAACCAGTAGACGTGCTCGATCTCCCCCTCATTCATGTGTCTCCCATAATCTCTCTCCTACTGGATCACCTCGTTTCTCATTCCATTAACTGGACATCAGGAAGGCCAAAGTTTTCCTTTTTAAGTCATTCCTTTTAGTTTCACCTTTTTCCTCATTCCATCGCTTTCCCTCCTCAGCGTATACCTTTTACATTCCCTTCATTGATTCATATGATGTAATCAGCTTCATTCTCTTCAGAAGCACTTTTACTTGATGGATATTAGTAGCGATCTTTGAGAGGAACAAGATTTTTCAGGACAAAATTGCTTTTTTTCCCAGTGTAGTGACAACCTGACCAGCTACTTTAGCATCCATTGCAGGCGTCCCAAGGATGATACCGCCACCTAAACTTTAAATTCAGCTAGGTTGCTCACTAAATCTGATGGTGTTAATTACTTTGCTAATCTATTCAGAGACAAGCTGAATGCAGTTATTTATTTTTCTATTATTTGTGTGTACAGGCCTTGAATATGTAGACGTTTAAAAATGAGATATTTTCTCAAGAACACTAACCTAGAAGGGGGGTGAAACAAGAAGCTTTTGTAGAGGGCAGACTGCAGGGTGGTCCCGGTCTGTTTTGACATGTTTTCATGGATGAGAGGACCACAAAGATTAAGAGCCACGTCGAGCCCCAGCAGTGAGTCCCTGATCCTAGATTAGAGCAGAGTGAGGGCGACCGGGGCCTGTAGGGACGTGCTGCCAGGAGGGATTATCTTTATAATGTACTAGAGAAGAGCAGTCGCCCAGTGATGTCACTTCCTGTTTTGTCATACCTCTGAACATTCGAGAATACACACGGTCAGACTCCGCCGCCAGCCTGCTTCACCTTTCATTCTTCTAACGTACATTTCAAACATTATAGAAACAAACAAGACCATTAGAGGATTTTCTCACTGTTTCTATTTTCTGTGGTCGTGATCTTAACTCTCCAGTTTGAGGTCAGTCTTTGCATCTGATCCGAGCACCTCAGTATCTGAGCCTGTACTCTTCCTTCCTTTTATGGTCACTAATCTATAAACTGTATCTGTGGCACATCCGTGGCTGATTCTTTGCACTTTCAGAATGCTATGCATCGGGCTCCTATTTGCTCTGTCATGGCTGTGTGTATAATAATAACAACAATAATAAAGCTCTGTATTTATTTCAAACTAATTTATTGAATAATTCATGTAAAATGGCTCAAGTAAGAAAAACAAAGCACGATCTTAACTAATGCATGTATGCATTGGATTGGATTTTATTAAATGGATCTTGATTCATGTGAAACAGAACTGTCGGTCTTTATTTCTATACTATTTCACACATGATGGGTATTCCACTTTGACCACTGCATAGTGTGTTCGCATACTTAACATCAGCATATTCCAGAGTCAGCAGGAGGGGGTTACATTTTACATCATTATGCCAACACAGCCTGGAAATGTGCTTTTCCCTTCTCAGTCAGTAGTCCTCGTCTGCACGTTCGGACAACTTGTGCAAATCCACAGCAGTTTCCCAAAGACTGATGCATGATGCCCTGAGCCTGGAGTACCTCAACACTCCAAAGGTTACAGCTATGCCTTTGAAGTGCTCATGATTTAAAAAAAATAAAAGAAAATGGCCAAAAGCCCATTAAAAACATTTGTACAGTACAGCAGATTCCATCACAGGTTTAAGACTGTACAGGCAGGGCGATTTCTTTGTGCATTCTTGCTTAGGTCCCATGGTGATAATGGCGTTCCATTTTCAGTAGTAATGAGCAACCCACGATTTTGTTTCACCTGCATTGCTTATTGTACAACAGGGGGTGGGTACTTTTAACAGGACAATATATTTTTTGAATTGTAATCAGACTATCCTGTAGTGCCTTATTGTCCTGTACGCATCACGTGATTAACTGGCTCCCACTTTCCTTTGGACTGATTTCTAACCAGAGATAAGAACTTGTTTAAGGAGGGGGGAAAAATCGGAGAAATAGGGAGAGGTTTGTGCACACGTGAACAGTACTGTTAGTTTTTCTTCTGTAGGCCTCTTCTTGAACTTAAAATTTCAGAATTCAAGTATAACCAGGAGAACTGCCAGATTTTCAGACAGCATGGCCAATATTGTAAAGTTATGTGTTAGCACTTCCTCAACAAATGCCTTGTTTTTGCAATGCTTATAGCAAAAAGGCCGTGGTAAATTAGAGGCTCTGATCCCAAGAGGAAACCTGGGAAATTCCTTGTTGGCTTTCTTGCTGAGAGACCATGTCTGTATGCCTAATGGTTCGCTTAGCTTAGAATAAAGACTGGAAACAGCTAATCTGTTTCTGTCCAAAGGTAACACAAGCCATCAACCAGTACCTCTGAAGAAACTCTTCCATCTAAATCCACAGAGGATGGCATCTCCACTGCCCTCCACTCAGCCCTCACACACCTTGAGAAAAACCAACAGCTACATCAGAATGCTGTTTGTGGATTTCAGCTCAGCATTCAACACAATCTCCCCACGAAGCCGATCGGCAAACTCTGGGCTTGAGTACCACGCTCTGCAACTGAATATTGGACTTCCTCACAAACAGACCCCCAGACAGTTTGGATTGGCACACTCACCTCCTCCACTTAGTGTTCAACACGGGAGCCCCCCCCAGGGCCGTGTGCTCAGCCCCCTCCTGTTCACGCTGTACACCCACGACTGCATCCCCCGACATGAAGAGAACTCTGTTGTGAAGTTTGTAGACGACACCACCGTCATCGGCCGGATTTCAAACAACGATGAGACTTCATATCGGGAGGAAATTGATAATCTTGCAGAGTGGTGCTCAGAGAACAACCTACTGCTCAACATCAGCAAAACCAAGGAGCTGATGGTTGACTTTAGGAAAAAGGAGGTAAAGACACACACTCCTGTCTACATCAGTGGTGCTGAGGTGGAGCAGGTGAACAGTTTCAGGTTCCTGGGAATCAGCATCACAGAGAATCTGACATGGTCGTCTCACATCTCCAGGTTGGTGAAGAAAGCTCAGAAACAACTGAATTCCTTGAGAAAGAAGGCCAAATTCCTGTGCCAAGTTCTTGTGAGCTTTTACAGAAGAGAAATAGAAAGCATCCTGACTGGAAACATCACACACTGGCATGGGATGTGCAGCGGGTAATTAAAACTGCTGTGCTGTCGTACCACAAGATTAAAGAGCAGCTTCTTCCCCAGGGCTGTGAGACTCTAACTAATTCATCCTCAACACTGCACCATGCACAGTAGTTTATTTCCTGTTTAAAATGTTTAAATTTTTGTATCTAACATTTGCTTTGTGAGTATCACAAAGGGAACAGACAAACTTCATCTCATTATACAACCCTGTTGTGATATGAGAACCTTAATCTGTGCAAAACTCACATTGTAAAAAGACAGGTTGTGGTTTTATGGGACGTGTGCTCAACAATTTTTTAGAGCAGTGACTTCCTGGAGTCTCCACTGCTGTTTCTGTATGTTTCGAGTCTTTCACTAAGCTAACCAACTCCTGGCTGTAGCTTCTTATGTAACCTACAGACACAAAAGTGGTATTGACCATCTAACTCCCAGCAAGAAAGCAGATCTCCCAAAAATTATTTCTAACTACTTCTTCAAAAACAGACTAGAGTCGCACAGTGAAATCTGATCTGATGTGCTACTCAAGTTGGCAGCGCACACCGTCTCCCTTTTTTAGGTTGTGTATTTCTAAAACCAACCAAATTGTACTTATTTAACACTTGGGGGGGTTATGGAAACTAGCGCAGGTGTAGTCAGTTTAGTTGTAGTTCAGCACTCTTACAGCGACACCATGGATAACCTGATACCACTGTACTGCTCCTCAGAAGCTCTGCTTTCTAACTAATCACTCAGTGTACAACAGCGTGACCTCAGCATGCATGTGGATTTCATGACGAGTTAGAAATGCATCTTGCCTTGCAGCAGATCAAGGAAACTAATTTTTGTGTAGTGAAAGTACAATTAGTCTGACGTACTGAGTTTCTGGAGATTGGTCTGCTCCTACCTGAAAGCAGACATCTATCTAAAACTGAAGGTTATTTCACAAATACTTTGAAGAAAAGCAAAACAAACCAGAAGTAAGTAGCGCTGTCCTTAAACTAGAGCCTTTAGGACCAGAGTTTGTAACCTTCTTTAGCTATGTTATTGTCATGTAGTAAGTGTGAATAAGCTAAAGCCAGGGGGCCAATTTTGGGGAGGGAACGTCCATCACAGCTACTTCTTCTGCTTAAATCAATGAAAGAAGGCAGTCACTGTAAATAGAAAAAAGAATTGAAATGAATATTTAAGGGGTATCCTCTATGTTTAGTCAGCTAGTGCCCGTGTTTGACAGTGCTTCTTATTACTGAGCTTCCTTGTGAGTCAGCTCATGTAGAGCAGAGGGTGATGCTGACCCCCTCTCCTATCCAGCAGGCGGGGAACAGCTCCTGGGTGAAGGCACAGTGGAAGGCGTGGAGCCTGGTCTGCCCGTCCCCGTAGTAGGTGAGCGTCCCCGCTTCGTAGTCCAGCAGCATGCCGATGCGGCTGTGCTGTGAGTGGCCGGCCACAGTCTCACGCCGGCCATTGTGCCAGGCGCTGAGCTGATGCTCGTCCAGCTGCAGGCTCCAGGACAATTCGTTCATACCCACCATGCACCTCTTTCCCTTCTCCTTCCTGGGGATGGTCTCGTAGGTTACCTGATCAGAAGCAGGAAGATGTGGGTGAATTGTGTGCAGCACGAAGGAAACAGTGAGGCTGTGCAGACTAACTGTAGACATTAGTGTCTTGTCTCGGTTTCGGACATTGAGGACACAGGATTTTATTTCAAGACCAGTCAAGACCATAACTCTGGGAAAATCAATAAATTGCTTTTGCATTGTCTGATTTATTTGTTAAAATCCTAACTTTGATTGGATATAAAACGTATTGCTTCAAATGCAACAAATAATCCTAATTAAAAATGTGTTACCGTTAACGGCTGTCACCCCTACCAGCCATGGTAAGCAGCAAAAGGAGTGTTGAATAAAGATGGTTAAGTTGATTTCAGCTCTTAGTGTTTGTATGTGGGTGTTTTAATGGGAATGTGGATCTTTCAGATCAATTTGAGAAGCACCTATGATCTCGTTCCACATATTGTTGTGTTTGTCATGTAATGTGGGGAACTGGTCTTGGTCTTGACTCAGTCTCAGCCCCTAAAAGTCTTGGTCTCGTCTCTGTCTCGATAAACTCTGGTCTTAGTCTTGACTTGGTCTCGGTTTGGGCGGTCTTGACTACAACACTAGTAGACATTAAAAGGTCGAAAAGGGCAGGCGTGAGCTACACAAATCCTGACACCGGTGCCGCTAGAGGAAAAGTCTGGGCATCCCCAAAGTTATTAAGATCATATAACTGAGGACCATGCATGTCTGCACAAAACGTCATAGCAATTCGTCTGGTCGTTGAGATAATTCGGTCTGGACAAAGTGGTGGACCGACTGACCACTTAAGAAATTAAGTTCTACTTTGTTATACAGCAATTCAATATCAATGAAAAAAGGTTGGTTGGTTTATCCAAAATTACCACCTAAATGGTGCCACATACTTTTTTGTAACAGTACATTTTAACTGCTGCAGTTAGAAGCTCTTTTATCTTTGATGTCTTACTTTCACCCATACAGTGTGAAGTCATGAAAAAAAAAAAGCATATTGTGATTGCTGTTCCATGTGGCTTGGCTACTTTGTCTGTCTCAACTTTATTGAACCACTCTGTGTACAAACGCAACGTGCATGTTTCTTTACCCCGAGGTAGGCCCAGGGCTTCGACACCTCCAGCTCCCAGTAGTGCTGTCCGTGGGTGAAGCCCTGAAAGCACAGAACCTGCCAAGTGTGATCGAAGCGGGCTTCATGGGCTGGGACGGGGCGTGGACCAGAGGTCAGGTGCTCCGCCCTCCGGTTCTCCTGGGACAGAGACAGGTGTGCATTGGCCGTGCGAGGGTCAAAGGTCAGAGAGCATCGGTCTGTAATGAGAAATAAAAGGATTCAGACAGATTGAAGCCAGAACTGATTATCTACACTGTTGACATGTTAAACTGTTAGCATAGCTCTTAATGTCTTTTTTGTGCCCTAGAAATACTAAAAACTAAAATGCAGTGTAAAATGTTAGATACAACTTACAAGCATTGAGGCCCTCCTTCCCACCGGGGTGGCATGGAGCAGCTGGACTGGGAACCACAGCTAGGATTGGCCTCTTATCCTGAGGAGAACCTGGAGACCAGTGATAAGCTTGAGAACACATAGCAAAGACTGGGGGAATAAACTGCTGGCAAATGAAGCTGAATTGCTACAGATGGATCATCATTCCCAGAGGTCGGTTACCGTCTTTGTCCTGACCCACAGCGGTGCTCACGGCTTTGTCCAGGTCCTCAGACACCAGCTTGGAGACTCGGGACAGGACATCTGTGACACCGTTTAATCGATCTTGAAGGGTTTGCGTTACATCTGTGGGAATGTCCTTGAAACGTGGAACTTCTATGACCATTGATTCCTGGGAAGAGACATGCATTTGAAAGAAGATCTTGATGCTTTGGAGGCTGAGTTTGATGAACCAAGTTAAGTGCATGTGGTGTGATTGATAACCACAGGAAGTAGAGGTGTTGTGGGAGCTGCAGCGTGCATATGGCCAGAATATGGAGACACAAAACAAAATGTTATCTTTTGATCACGATGATAATTCTCAGGTTACAAGTGTATGAACTACACTGCAGACTTGAGTCTCTGTTAACATAGCATTAGTGATTACTGTATGATATTGAACTGTAATTCTAATATTATTTCCTCTTATGTTTGTAAATGGGCTGTGCAAAACAATAGATTTACCTCTTGTATACTTACCTCTGTATAATGCAGTCCAGGTCAACACCACTACAACCTGATTAATAAATATTATCTTTATCATATTCTCTTTCAAAAGGTAGAACTTTAGGCTGAGTTGAGTTGTTCTGTGTATGATGTCATGACCTCCACATTGCAAATATCCCCTACAGAAACATGCAGTCAAAGTTACAAAAAACTAATTCCCTTCATTTCACGAGCGCTTTTCAAAGATTCAAAGACGTCATCATCAAAGTTTTGTGTCATTTAGCAGTTTGCAGTCTTTAAACAGAAACGATGTATAATCCTGCTTTTGCTGCCATCTAGCAGTGGAAATATTCACCATGCTGAAAGCTATATTCCCACTGTTGGTTGTGGTGAGAAGTGCAAAGTGCACACACAGAGGTCTGCACAATTGTGCTTTTAACTGTGTTACAGAGCACCTACAGCACAAGCCAGAGCACAATCGATCCTTTTCCAGACATCTGACTGTTTCTTTATTTGAGTGTGGAACTCAATTTGGTGGAACTGAATCCCAGCAGAAGGTAAATTGGTTCGCACTCAGAGCCTTTGTGCCTTTTACTTTTCTGTGTGCAAACCAATTTACCTTTAACTGGAATTGCAGATTTTAACTTTTAACTAAACAAGTGTAAGTGCGGAAATTCTCCACAATGGAATACCGTGTTACTGTTAAGTCCGTTGTTTGAAACCTTACTCCAGGAAAGTTAAAACACTAAGCTGGCTCTCGATTTCCAGAATGTGTAAACTCCAAGCCATGAGACGTATCATGTCTCTAATGGTGAGAGAGACAATACATAATTTGTAGAATGAGCTATACTCTATTCCCAAAATGTTTAGATCACAGAACAGAAGTTGTAGTGTTACATTACAGTCCCAGGGGTACACACCTTAATGAGCTCTGTATCAGAGAGGGTATGTACAGCTGCTATCTGTTCCTGGCTCTCTCTGAGTCTTTGAGCTCGCTCCTCAAGTTCAGCTAGCCGCGCCTCCGCCTCTCTGACGGCAGCGTCTGACTGCTCCTCAATGAAGAGCTCTGTAGCCTCCTGCTTCTCAGCCAGTATTTTTATCAGGGTGGAGAACTTGACATTGACCCAGGTGGAAGTCTGCTGAAGAGCCACCTGTTGATGGAAAATGCACAATCATAAGCCTGCTGTTTTTTGTCTACATTCTCAAATAACATCAAGATTCATTGTTTTCTGGGCTGCAGCTTTGTCAGTTAAGACCTGAACATATTCATGCAAATGCATTTTAAGTTTTGTGGGTGTTCGAGGAGGATAATCAATTGCCTGATTTCCATTAAAATTGGCTTTAACAGTAAGACAGCTGCAGGAAGTGCTGAGTTGTACTAATGTGGTTCGCCACCGAGAGTTAACAGTACTTAACTGGCTACAACATAGTATGGGATGACTAAGCTTTCACATCTTACACTAGGAGTTTACCTTAGCTTGACTGATATTCTCAGCCAAGTCATTTATACTTTTCTGTGTCTCTTCAGCGAGTTTCCCCACCTCCTTACTCTTCCTTTCCAGCAGCAGCTGTAAAGAAAACACATCAAACTGAGACCGTAGGCTTCATGTAGTCACAATCACAATCACCTTTAATGCTGGAGCAAGGTGGCAGTGTTAGAACTGAACTGACAATCTGTGTCACACTCCCAGCTAAGATGCTGTGGTGGCACTGTGTTACTATACCTGTTGATTTTCCCTTTCTGCCTCCAACAAGACCTTTTCATGGTTCAAGCATTCAGAGATGCCACACTCGCAGCACACAGACATTTTGTCCTGCCTGCAGTAATAAACCAGAGGCTTTTTGTGCCGATCACACAGCAGCATGGCTCTCGCCCCTTCGCTTCCCCTCATGAGCGACTCTCTGCAGGAGGCGCCGGTGCTGCTTGCAGCCTCAGTCAGGACTGACAGGGACACATTACGCTTGAGAACGGGCCTGGCGGTAAACTTCTCATTGCAGATGGGGCACTGAGGTCCGATATCAGACTTGCTCTTGGTGTCCCAGTGAATGGTGATGCATACTTGACAGAAGGTGTGACCGCAGGGGATGGTTACAGGGATTCGGAAACGCTCCAGGCATATGACACAGGTCAGGTTTGAATTCTCCATCTCTGAAGAAAGAGCAGACACCTCTCTGAAAGAAAGAAGGAAAAGGTCATGACATGATAGATCTCTAACATATTAGTATATCATATCTGTAACGTTACCATATAATGACAGTAATGTAGTTTACTGCCTAACCTCTCTGTACTAAGAGGTTAATTTCACATATCAAGCCCTTTGTATAGAAACAGTTTCTCAGAATGGCAGAAAAACCTTCCTGTCCCTTTCTGTTAGTGCCAGGTATCAGACTGGGAAACAGCAAACCCACGGCCAAGCATCAATACAAGGCTCGTTGGCTACCACACATTAACTTAACCAAGTGGAAGGGAAAGCTAACGTTAGCTAACGCTAGCCTGGTGGTATCAAGTCAGTTCACGATAGCTAGGGCTCTTAGGGACAAGTAAGGGTTAAAATATTAAAACAGTATGGTGACTGAACTGAATTTTAGCGCACATTTTCACTCACCGCCTAGCTGTAACACAAAAAGACTCAATATTAATTCTTACCACTTCTACAGATACATTCGTGCACAGCATCTGTGTGGATCCCGTCAGACGAAGGGTCCCTGATGACGACAGACGCAAAGGTGATGCCTTCACGTGCTGTTGGGGGAAAACGTAAACGCACAAACGACTCAACGGTACACGTTACTAGCGTGTATTACACGCTAACACATGTGACAGGTTCACAGTGTTACAGTGTTACATTAAATCTGCAATAATTTTCACTCTCTGTCGCTACATTGTAACATTACAACTAATCGCGTTTGGTTTAACAATCATTTAAAATGACGATAAACGTGTGCTAAAATTTCTTAAAAATAATAATTAAAGAAATCTGATTATACCATGAAAGTTACCTTGATACATGTTGTCGTCAGCACTGCAGATGTAAATAAGTTAAACATAAGTTGCAAGGATAAGATTTGCTCCTCTCGGGCCACCGTATTTACATAAAAAGAAGAAAAAAAGAGCCAACATTCATTCCAAGATGGCGCTGCGCACGGTTTGCGCCGCTGCCTTGCGAAGTGGGACAGATTTAGGGGTCAATAATGCGAGGACATTTGTCAAAACAGGTATTGTAACGATATTGTTAAATTATATTCTGTTTACATATAGAGTTCGCGCCCGGGCTTCAGTACATGCAATAGTGATCACGTTAGATCAGTTTGAAGCAGACTCCTGTTACATGCTCTCCTCTTCTGTGGAGAAAGACATTTTGCCACAACGTTACTCAATAGAGAAGTATGTTAATTACATGTGAATTTATTGGTCGACAAAAGGAAAATTTCTTAAGAACAATATAGGAGACCTAGCTCAAGAATAGTTACAGTGTCCGCACTGATAGATGGGGTCATTCAAATCACAAATCAGTTCCCATTGACAATAAAATGTCCCTGTATTTTGGGCATTAGTCCCCACTATTGGCTTGCGGAAACACTAGGCGAAACCAAACATGAAACGTACTGGGTGTATATTTATAAATGTGCTTAAATGAACAGGAAACATTTTAAATTCGTTTTGTATCACATTCCTTCTTGACATAAAATTATCAAATATTTGAATGGGGTTTCTCATGGATACAGGATGTGCTGTGGTAGCTTAACCAGAAAATAAATACATAATATATAATCTGATAATCTGGTCCACAATCACTGTAAATTAGCAATCTAAACAAATGAAAACCCTTGAATTAAAATGTTGCAATCTCTAAAGTGATGTATTATGGCAGGAATAAACAGACAACATGACAAAAAATGTTTTGTGTAACTAACTAACTGATGGGGACGTTTCGACATTACAGCGTTCCTCTGCAGACGGATACCTCCTTTGGGTCCAATGCCAAATGAGGAGATCGAGGTTGAAAACTTGGAGTCGTTAGAGAAGTATCGCAGCTACACTCGTTACCTCAGACAAGCGCAGGAGGCAAAGAACAGACCTGCCTGGTGGAAGACCTACAGGAGCTACGTGGAAAAAGCTGATCCAGAGCATGGTGAGAGATTAAGGGGGACGCTACTGTTGACAGGGATTCCCTTGGTGGGGTCAAAAGGGCATGGCAAAATGGTTGGTCAAGGATTTTATTTTGTGACTGTTGAAAGCGCTGCAGCATCAAAACAGTTTTGTTTTGTTGCAGGTGCGGAGCGAGTGGACATCGGGCTGCCATACTATCGCCCCGGCAGGATCAAAGAAGTGAGGGAGAGGAGGCAGGTGATGAAGGACAACAAAAGGAACGCTGAGCTGGAGAGGGCTTCTCGACTGCGCACATGTAAGCGCACATGCAGACCACACTTGAGCGTCTCATTGAAAATTTAGTTTCTCTGTGGTGGTTCGGTGGAGTAATGTTTCTCTTTTTTTCCTACAGTAAAGATCCCTCTGGATCGAGTGCAGGAAACGTGGGAGAAGAGCAGTGGTCCGTTTCATATAAAGAGACTGGCAGAACACTATGGAGTCTTCAAAGATCTCTTCCCCATGGCCTATTTTCTACCTCAAGTCTCACTTCACATCTGCTATAACCAGGACAACAGTGGCCAAGTGCATTATGGCAATCAGCTAACGCCTACTGGAGTACGTTAAAAGAATGGAAGTTTTACCATGTCCTAATCTAGCTCTGTAATTGATTTTCTAAGGTTCAAGGCCACTTAAAGTTAAACTATCTGTTTCCCTTTTCTAACACTTCATTCCCTCTCTTCCTTCTGTATCTGTATTTTTCAGGCAGCATCTGTCCCTCAGATCAGCTTTGATGCTGAGGAGGGCTCCCTGTGGACTCTTCTGCTCACCTGTCCAGGTAAGCATCAGCTTTCCCCGAGGAGGCAATGGACCACTAGATTGTAACAATCAGCAGCTCTCTACACTGCGTTTTAGGTCTACGTCTAAAAAAACTGGTCTTCTTTTTCAGATGAGCACCTTCAGGACAACGAGGCAGAATACATCCACTGGCTAGTGTGAGTACTTCAAGTCAAGTCCGTTGTGCTCTTATTTATAGAGCACATATTTAAAAAAACGCATGTTGACCAAAGTGCTTTTACAAGGACATTTAAGTACACTTAAGTCATTTTTTACTCAAATGAAACTTGAAACCTCCTAGTCACCTTTAATGAGCATTTGCATTATTATAGATTTGGATTTTTTTATGTAGGTAGAAGGAGTAGATACAGTTTTTAAATCATTTGTAAGCACTAGCCTATAACCTCAAATGACCTGGGTTTCTGTAGAGGGAACATACCAGGCGGAAAAGTGCAGGCCGGAGAGGAGCTATGTCAGTACCTGCCCCCCATACCTGCCAGAGGAACAGGCTTCCACCGCTACATATATGTCCTCTTCAAGCAGGAGGGACCCGTCAACTTCCAGGAGGATGTCAGGCCGTCGCCATGGTGAGCAATATGTCCAACATACAGACAGGAAGCTGATGCTCTTAGTATTATTTGTGTGTACAGTATGAAATATAACTAGAACCAGATATAACTAGTGTTTACTCTCTAATTGAATCTGTTTAACGTGTGTTAGTTCATGTTTGATAGAGCAACAAAGACACTAATCATGTGGTACCTCTCATCCACAGCCATTCTCTGGTGGAGCGTACGTTTAAGACGGTTGATTTCTACAGGAAGCACCAGGACAACATGACGCCTGCAGGCCTGGCCTTCTTCCAGTGCCAGTGGGATGAATCTGTCACCAACACCTTTCACAACACGCTCAGTGAGTCACACCAGTGTTCACAAACATTGTAACTAGTAACAAGTTTGGTCATTTTACAAAAACTTAAAAAAAAGACTTGCTGTGACTTTGATTTCAGAACAGACATGTACAAAGTTTGTGTGACACTTGCCCATCTGTTGTATGTTCTCCCTGCAGACATGAGGGAGCCGGTGTTTGAGTTTATCCGCCCTCCAGTGTACCACCCTCCACAGGTCAGATACCCTCATCGACAGCCCCTACGCTACCTGGACAGATACCGAGATGGAAAGGAGCACACCTATGGAATATATTGATTATGAGACACACACTCACTCACAGAGTTGGGGGAAAAAAACCCACATGTAGTTCTGTTTAGCATATTTATGTTAAAATAATAAAGCTTTTTTTCAACTGTGTTGAGATTGCATTATTTACCGCTGCCGAGGATGTTATGTTAGTCCTGTTCAAAACCAGATATTTTAAATATGTTTCAATACAATTTGGTGGAAGGTTTTAGTAAAAATACACGTGTTTAATTACTAGTGGGGATCTGGGCCTGTCTTTCTCAAACTGTCACATGTGAAATTTTGGAATTAAGGAGAAACCACTATTACACATCATTTTCTGATTACAGGTGTTGGGGAGTACTGCTGTATAAAAAAGTTGTTTAAAAGTCTTTTGTGGCTCCAGAGGGAGCTGTGTGAAGATAAATGTCCACAGAATGACTTCGGTTTGGTCTGAAGATTTAGCTTAGTGGTGTGGAGTTAGAAATATGTGAGCTCCCCAGACCTCCTTAGCCCACTCCTCAACTCTGCTTGAGGTTAACTTAGCTGCTACTAGCATTACACACACAAATCTCAAGACTGAACAGACAGCAGTTGCACTGTGGGTAATGTATAGGTGCTAGATTTTGAAGAAGAGGAATACGTGGAATTAAAAAAGACAGCATCGATATTGCTCCTTTTTGTCAAACTTTCCATCTTGCGTCCTGTAATGTCATAGGACTGCTCGGCTAAATCAGTGGAGGATTTTTATAAGTGGACAATAAAAGGAAAAGATTAACTCCCACATTTTCAGTCATCTTGTGACCTAAAATTGCTCTTAAATGTAAGAGAGCCACAGAAGTCTCTGAGAATGGTAGAATACTGTAGGTGACCGCAGTACAGAAACAAAGTGAACACAGTCTTCTGGGACATGTTTAGAGGGTTAAAATAAAAAAAATATGCATAATTCAGAATAGAGCATATTTAGCCAGCCTGCTATGTACGTTTGATTTTAACATTTGATAGGACATTACACCGCTTTTTCCACAAATAAAAGTGACTTTGATTTTGTTTGCAACTACTTTCACCACATTGTTATTGCATGCACTTGTTAATGTAGTACTTTCCCCCCTCCCCTTCCCAATTAAGCCACTTTCTTATTATTTATATATTGATACATTGTAAAAATTTTACACTGTTGTTAATTTCACATGTTGTGCATCAGAATTAAAATAAAGACAAAATAGTATGGGTAGGGTGTGCTGTTCATTTGTAGTAGTAGCCACCCAGTTACAGCCTTTATTACTTCCATAACTGTCTGAAGAGGAGGAATATCTCTGATCAAAGGCGTCACTTTGTGTTGAAAAGTGGTGGGGACATAAGGGCTCAGATTAGAGGTGTGAAGAGACACTTTGCTTGCGAGAAAAAACAACATTAGGTATTATATTAGGTATAGATATTATTATAATATTAGGTTCACGAGAAAGAGACAAAAAGGTCCTTAAACAGTGTTTTAAAGAGGGTCTGGGGGGACCTCGCCCAGGAAAATTTGATCATTAAACACTTCATTTCCTGCATTCTGGTGAAAGTTTCTGCACCAATTAATGGCGGAAATGTTTTTATTTATGTAAAAGGAAATACAAAATTCAGGT